ATATCATCACCGTGGGGAGGGGGGCGATGATAACTTCCTCAATGGCTCAAGGGGGCGTTTCTTTTAAAAAGGTTAAGAACCACTGGTGTAAAGTATGGCCTGCAGGGTGCCCCTAACACCCCCAAACCTCCCTTTAAAGCAAACAAACAAACAAACAAACAAAAAGATCTAGTGGGCATAGTCTGACATTCTAGGCCATTTTTGCCTCTGGGACTATATTAATTATGGTGGCTGCCCCATTCCACTGAAAGAAGCACTTCCATGAGCCAGTTGTGCCCCCAGAGGGACATTGGGGTGGACGAACATGTCTAGCTGTCTGAGTTCCTGGAGAAACTTGGTAAGTTAATCATTGTTATTGTTGAAAAAAGGGTTTGAGACACTGAGACAAAATATAAAAAATAATCTTTATCTAATTCTCTTAGGAAAAGGGTAAACAGGACATCCCAAGAAAACAATCAAAGTACTAAAACTACATTACAAAACATACCAAACAGTAAAGGGAATAAAAAACAGTGACAGCTCAAGCAATGCTCACAAACTCAGGCAAGCACGCACAGTCTCTGCCTCGCTCGGTCAGTCAGCACCATCAAAGGGAGAAAGGGAGAGAGAGAGAGAGAGACAAAACTTTATAGAGCCTCATTAATTATACGGGACAGGTGAGGTCTTTAAGGATATCAAACCACAGTGGGCAGAATGTTACATCTTGCAATATTCCAACAGTTATTACAGAGTGTATTTCAGAGAAGGCTAGATTTCCTCTGTTTATGGTTGTGTGCCTTATCTCCTTTAATGTTTTCATTTCCCTCACGGTTCTCCATGGTATCAGATTGGGACTGAGTTCCTGCGTGGTGTTTCAGGCGGTGAGAAGAAACGGTGCAGCATTGGCATGGAACTGATCACTTCACCGTCTCTGATTTTTCTGGATGAACCAACCACAGGACTGGATTCTAACACAGCTAATGCCATCATGCGACTCTTGTACCAGTGAGTGTCTGTGGTGGATCTTTCTTTCCTCTGTCTTTCACCCTAACTCAACATGACATTTAACTTCAGAGAGCTTGGCTGCACGTCCTTCCCCCTTAAAACATAATCACCAGGTTAAGGCCTGGAGGCAGAAATGTCAAGGGAGGGGGGGGGACAGGTTTGTATAGGAGAGCCAGGGCTTGGTGTGCTGTATATCCTGCACTAATTCCTGCTGCAGAAGAGACAATCTACTGTTCATTTTAAGAAGCAGCTTGTCTCTTTGGCACTGATAACATTGCAGATGAATCAACTAATCAAGAATAATCTGCAGGTGCCGTTCTCTTCTGTGCATGCACATCATTGACTGGTCTTTAGCATATTATCAGAAGTGCTCATCTGTGCCATGCATGATGTACTCTGGTAGTGGTCACACGGAGCACACTACCAGGCCTTGAAACTCAGCATGCGCCAAGCAGTTTTTTAAGGGCAATATGGCTCTGTTCTCATAATGCTGCTGCTGTCATCTTGGTTTTGCAGACTCTCCAAGAAAGGTAGAACAGTGATCTTCTCAATTCATCAGCCACGCTACTCCATCTTCAAGCTGATTGACCACCTGACTTTGATAAACAAAGGGGAAATCATATTTGCAGGACCTGCCGAAGACGCCACAGATTATTTCAGCAGCATTGGTAAGGAACGAAGCTTTCTAGGGGCAGAAATAGCATTTATGGTGACTGAAGGATGATGGCAGCTAGTCAGTTTCAAAAGATGTGGCAAGAATTTGCTGAGGTTGTCAAAGATTTTTAGAGCAAAGCCTGAGCAAGAATAATAGAAGATAAATAAAGGTTTATACAAGAAAAACAAACTCTATCCGCTGTGATAGATTGTTGTTGTTACATGCCTTCAACTTCATGGCAACCCTATGAAGGAGCAATCTCCAAAATGTCCTGTCCTCAACAGCTCTGCTCAGCTCTTCAACCTTGTGCCTTCCTTTAGGAAGTTAGTCCATCTTATATTTGGTCTTCCTCTTTTCCTGCTGCCTTCCACCTTTCCTGACATCATTGTCTTTTCCAGAGAAAATTGCCTTCTTATGAAGTCCTCAAAGTATGACAGCCTCAACTTCAAAATTTTTGTCTCCAGAAATTGTTGAGCCTTGATTTGATCTAGAAGCCACTTGGCAGTCCAGAATATCCCTAACGCTCTCCTCCAGCATCATATTTCAAATTAATACTTTTTTTTCTCTGTCTGCTTTTTTAACTGTCCAGCTTCCGGTTCCAGCTCAGCCAGGCAGCACGCTCGTGGCTAAGCAGCAATGATTTTATCTTTATTCTAATTTTATATGGCTTTTATCGTTTTTGTTTAGTTGAAGCTCCTATTTTACTCCAGCTGGAGGCATGATTTTAACTTTGGCAAAAGTAAACACAGAGATAATGACCACTGGAGCTGCCGAGAGACATTAGAAATACCTGCTGCCTCTGGATCACAAAATTACACAACTGAAGCCTTGTGAAGAAAACAGGGGAAAAAACACCATTACTGCGGAGAGTAAGCACCTACTTGAATCAAGTCCGCAAGAAAAGCATTTACTTTGTTTAAGAAAAGCCATCTGCCTTTGGGGGTTGTTCAGCATATAGCAGGGGCCCTGATCTGCCGTCTTTGTCAATCTACAATTGGCTCACAGTGAGTAAAAGTCCTCCAAGGAACAGGGTGGAATAAACTGCCCTTTAAAGGTTTATGTTTGAAGTGTTTACCAGGGCTAAGAAGTTTTCTATACAGCTGCTACTGACTGTAACTGTGAAACCCATATTCCTTCTCCCTTTGAGTGGAAATTTGTACCTGCAGAAGTAGAAGGGGATACTAAATAAGCTAAATTTGTGGAGTATAACTATTATAGTCACTACTAGGACAAAAAAAACATATGGCAAGATTTTAAAAAGGCTCCTAAAAAGCCAAACCAGAAATCAATAGCAGGCTTCTGTGTGGCCTCAGATCTCATCAACCAACATGAATGTGCTTCCTCTTATAATCCAAGGCCACTGAGGGAATTTACATCAAGTACTCCACTCACTATGGACAACGTAGGCATGAATAATAGAGAGACATTTCAGGAGGTTGCAGTCGAAACGCCGCACCCTGGAGAAGAAATCGGCAATTGGTCTCTGGACCCAGAACTCCTAGAGAAGGCTCTCTCTGCCTCTATGGAATCATTCTATGAACACCTAAATCTATCAACACCTGGACCCAAGGAGAACCACATGGAAAGAAAAAATAGGTCCCCAAGATGCTCAAGGGCTTGAGAGTGAACAAACTAGGATTATTTAGACACAACTATGTGATCAGTGCTTCCTATCAGCCAAATCCAACCAACCATCTTCAATAAGCTGCATGCTCTAAAGAAAGAAATCACTGATATTAAAGCAACACTACAGTGCATTGCTGACATGATAAAGTTGGGGACTTTAAAAGCAGCACCCCCCTCAAACCCTCAGTATACTGAACAGAGAGGACTTCAGGCAAAAAAGGAGCTGGGCGCAAAAGATCAAACACAAAAAGGTAACTCCCCAGCTTTTAAAGGTCAGAGTTACCCACAGTTATCGGGGAAAACAACTCAGGACCGAATGCCCATCTCTGGGATGACCCTAAAGGCCTGGGCAGACCCATATGACCGAAATAATGACACAGAGGGACTTGACCTAACATCCTCCAATCTAGAACTAATAACTATAGATGAATGGTGGGGAAACACCCCAGAAGAACCCTATCTCCAGCATCCACTCGCAGAGACAGCATGCAGGGAAAATATACAGATAGAAAAACCCCAGTGGTCAGCAACCTCAGACAGTGAAGAGTCCACCCCGGTTGAAACCCCATCATCCAAGCCCATGAACCATATCACCATCTACAACTGGCCACTAAGAAAATCAAATGGCACCTGGGCCTCCAACTCAGAAGTATTGCAGACGATAACAGAAACTCTGGGCGAGGATTGGAATGCTCAAATGAATACAAAATGTTACTGTATTTACCCTAGTAAGCCCGGGCAACTAAGATGCAGGGTGCACATGATCTTCGCCAATAGTAAACAGGCCCATGATTTTTGGAGCCTGTTATACAAAGTTTGAAAAAAATAGCAGTACAGTATCATTCAAATGGGGAATACATGCAACCTACTTAAATATCAACCTTAGACCGATCATAAAATTGGACACCTACAAACTAACAAATAAATCCAGAGAAATTCAGGTTCCAGAACAAAGAGATGGCCCCTCAGCCACTTCCATAAGGAAGATAACAGCCGAAAATCCCAGCTATGACCTGTATAGATCATTTACAACATTTCCATCATTTACAACAGTTCACCTTCCAAAACCAAAGCAGACAGCAGAGGAAAGGAAACATACACCAGTTTTACAACCTTTCCAAACAATATCCCAATTAACAAGCCCCTTGATTTTACAAGCAAAATCAAAAACCAGAGGAATCAGGTGAAAATGCTGCCAAGGCCTCTTTCAAAAGGTATTATACCCCCCAGAAATGACAGAATATACCATCCATACAAAGAGAAGATACATCCCGCCTGCTCAGTTGGAACTATTTCTAACTCCACCCCCGAGTGGCTTATGAGCAATAGATATGCCCCTTTAGTAGCTTTTCCCCAGAACTGACTATTGGAAGGCAAAAAACAAAAACATATGAAGAAGCATTCACCCTGGAATATTGCATGGGGAAAAAACAAAAAGTCCAACTTCACAAAGATCCTATAGTCCCAAATGTAACAATGACTACCTACCCAGGTAGAGCTGAAAGATCTTCTTTTAGTAGAGAGACACAAAAAAATCAAAACAACAAAGACTGGGCCCATAAAGATTATCCTTTACCCACACCAGCTGCTCCCCTCACCTACAGAGGATGTCAGTCATCAGATGTATCCCAGCCTGCTCTGGAGAAGCTAACGTTGTACAAGGAAGGGAACCCCATTAAAATTCTCTCTTCCACAAGAGGGGAAATGACCCCAAGGGCAGAAGAACTGAACATTCAGGAGTGATTTTTGGAGCCTGTTATACAAAGTTTGAAAAAAATAGCAGTACAGTATCATTCAAATGGGGAATACATGCAACCTACTTAGATATCAACCTTAGACCGATCATAAAATTGGACACCTACAAACTAACAAATAAATCCAGAGAAATTCAGGTTCCAGAACAAAGAGATGGCCCCTCAGCCACTTCCATAAGGAAGATAACAGCCGAAAATCCCAGCTATGACCTGTATAGATCATTTACAACATTTCCATCATTTACAACAGTTCACCTTCCAAAACCAAAGCAGACAGCAGAGGAAAGGAAACATACACCAGTTTTACAACCTTTCCAAACAATATCCCAATTAACAAGCCCCTTGATTTTACAAGCAAAATCAAAAACCAGAGGAATCAGGTGAAAATGCTGCCAAGGCCTCTTTCAAAAGGTATTATACCCCCCAGAAATGACAGAATATACCATCCATACAAAGAGAAGATACATCCCGCCTGCTCAGTTGGAACTATTTCTAACTCCACCCCCGAGTGGCTTATGAGCAATAGATATGCCCCTTTAGTAGCTTTTCCCCAGAACTGACTATTGGAAGGCAAAAAACAAAAACATATGAAGAAGCATTCACCCTGGAATATTGCATGGGGAAAAAACAAAAAGTCCAACTTCACAAAGATCCCATAGTCCCAAATGTAACAATGACTACCTACCCAGGTAGAGCTGAAAGATCTTCTTTTAGTAGAGAGACACAAAAAAATCAAAACAACAAAGACTGGGCCCATAAAGATTATCCTTTACCCACACCAGCTGCTCCCCTCACCTACAGAGGATGTCAGTCATCAGATGTATCCCAGCCTGCTCTGGAGAAGCTAACGTTGTACAAGGAAGGGAACCCCATTAAAATTCTCTCTTCCACAAGAGGGGAAATGACCCCAAGGGCAGAAGAACTGAACATTCAGGAGTGAAATGAGACACCAGATACTCAAGTATGGTGGCGTGCTCCAGAAAGCAACCAAAAATCTGCATCTAAAGTCAAACTTTTATCATGGAATGTGACAGGTCGGACCAGATGTATCTCCCATACCCATGATACCCCTTTTTTCCACTGCAAATATGACATCATTCTTCTGCAAGAAACATGGTCTGACAAAGATATAATACTAGATGGTTTCAACTCATTCATGATAAGGGCAATCACAGGGTGCGGACCAGGGAGACTGAAGGGGGGGGGGGTTGAGTATTCTGGTATCAACGGCTCTGAAAGTGAAATCTGCGACGAAACCCCCCCTTGACACAGCGGGCCATGGCAGTAGTACTTACAGGAAGTATGAAAACCCTATTGTCATTAACATATACTTACCTCCTACATCTAGAAAAGCAGAAACAGAAGAAAATTGAATAGACCTTGAAAATTATGTAAGAGAGCTTATCGTGGAACATCCGGACGCTTTGGCCCTGATTGTGGATTTAAAATCAGCATTCGATTCTATATTGAGAACATATCTCTGGGACAAACTAGCAAACTCATCTATAGACAAAAGACTTTTATATCTAATCAGGGCCCTACATGAAGAAACATACTTGAGAGTCAGCTGCAGCAGACAAGGACACCTCACGGAATCTGTGCAAACGCACAGAGGTGTTAGGCAAGGCTGCCTATTGGCACCAGCATTATTCATCCTATACACCACTGGATCTCCATTCACCTAAACTTACAGATAGAACAGTGCCAGCCTTACTCTATGCTGATGATACAATAATTCTGCCCAGAACCCCCATAGGGCTGAGGAGGGCACTTAAGAAGCTTGCCTCATACTGTGAATATAAATCCCTAACTATTAACTATCAGAAGACCAAGATAGTTGCCTTTGGACAGAGACCCAAAATTCAGTCATGGCAAATAAATGGACACAGTATCGAGCAGGTGAACAGCTTCAAATATCTTAGTACTACAGGCGTCGGGATCTAGGCTTCAGCATAGTAAATTTGCGGCAGATCAGGGAGAAAGATCGGCAAATAGTATAGTAAAATTCCATCTCTCACAAGGAGGGTCCTTTATTCCAGCAGCCCTCAAACTCTATAAAGCAAAGGCTTTAGCTCAGCTCCTGTATGGCTCATTCATGGGGCCACCCAGCTCTCACTTTGCCTCACAAGAAATAGTTCAATCCAAATTTCTAAGAACTATATTCCAGGTCCCAAGATGCGTGTCAAATGCAAGGATAAGGCTAAGCAGAAGCCTGGATTTGGATTCAATCTATATATATGTGGTTAGAGGGACAGTTAAACCTCAAAGGCCTATTTTCCTTGATATTTAATGATTTAGAGGGACAGTTAAACCCCAAAGGGCTATTTTCCTTGATATTTAATGATAACTATCAATCCAAGTGGGTCGAATCAGTCCAGGGCTATTTGGCGAAAATTGGCCTCTCACCTCAGGCACTTATATCTTCTGAAATATAGCAGGCAAAACAAATAGTCAAACAAAGAACAGAGGACAATGAATATCAAACAGACCTCTCTAGCATTTAAAACATGGCAGTTAGGACATGCATCAAAAACAGTATGGAACCAGCCAAATACTTAACATCTTTGGAAATTAAAGGAACTAGAAGAGCCTTTACTTTGGTGAGTTGTTTGGCCCTCCCCTCTGCTGTACTAGAAGGGAAGTATAAAAATACTCTTTTTGCTGGAAGGTTATGCTCCTGCCACCTGAGGGAGATCGAGACCATACAGCATGTGTTCTTCACCTGCCCATTGTATGAAGCAGTGTGAAAAAAGACTATTATTTCCTTAATAGATAGAATCCCAGGACGTTCAGAGGGAAATAGGCTTGAGTTCCTTCTCTCGGATGTTGATATGCAGACCACCTGTCAAGTTGCGAAATTCTGTGTAGCAGTACTTCGATTGCGAAAGTTAAATACCAATCAGATAGTAGCTCCTAGCTGTATGTATGCCAACATGTTCTAATGGAATATTGAAAGTTAGAAATTATCAGGGTTCATAAGGTTTTATACCTATGTGACTGGTCTAAGGACCATAAATAAATTATTCATTCAACTATCCAGCTTTTATACCTATACATGGTGATCAGAAATACAAGAGTCTGGATGATCTTGGTCTTGGTCTCCAGTGACACATCCTTACACTGGATGAGCTTTCCTATTTCCTTCATTGTTGCCCTTCTTTTTTAGTCTCAGTCTTCTGATTTGTTGACTACAGTCTCCATTAGGATAGATGATTGAACATCCCTAACCATTTCAGTTTCTTCATTGTCAACATTTCGAGTAAAGTTCTTTAATTCTGCTTGATGTTGAACTGAAGTCCTGGTTTGGCCCTTTCTTCTTTCAATTTTCCTCACAGTTATTTCAACTCATTGCTGTTGTCTTCCGAGAAGATGGCACCATCTGTCCCCAACTGCTTAAATTATTGATGTTTCTTCCACCAGTTTTCCTTTTTCATCGGAATCTGAATGGTACAACTTATGTGAATTTTCCTGGATCTGCATGACTTCTTTTAATTTAATTTAATTGTAAACTGCCCAGAGAGTGCTTTAAGCACTATGAGGCGGTATATTAGCAGCTCACTTTGCTTTGCTTTGCTTTGTTTTGCTTTGCTTTCTCTAAACTGGGACTCAGAGTGGCAAATTTTTGCAACAGCATAACTGCCCCTACAAGTTCCTACTTCGTCGACAGCCACAATAGCTGCTCTGTGTTTTCCCTACCACCACTCTTCTCCCTGCTTTTTAAACACCCTTTCTCCTATCAGCAAGCAATAGGTCCAGCTTTAACAGCTAAGAAAGAGGTACAGATCAGAGAGGCAGATGTGTAGTCGCTAAAAATAAAAAATAAAATCCCTTCAGAATCGAGCCTCAATTTGTTATTGTGTATCCATTCCCTCACTGAACTCACAACTTCCACAGCACTCTTGGCATCTATTAAAAGGGACAGAAAGCACTGGGTACCATCAGCACATAAATGAGACTAGGTCCCAAACTCTGGTGGATCATTTCCCCCAGTTGTTAAATACAGTGGGGTCTCTACTTAAGTTTTCCCCCAGTTGTTAAATATAGGTAAACATTAGGGGGCAATGTGGAGCCCTATAGAACCTTTATACAGTACCACCTATAAGGCAGACCAGCAGGGTCCCAGCCAGATTGGGCCAGAACCACCCCAGAATGGTACCTCCAAGTTTTGTATTAGCCAAGCATCCCAAGACAATTCAGTAGTCAGTGGTAACTAATCCATTGATAGGTGCATCTTGTACATATCTGCTGCCCATTACAGGAATGTGTGTAGTTACTGATTTCGCATCTTGTACATTACAGGAATGTGTGTAGTTACTGATTTATTGACCAAACTCCTATTGTTAAGTTACAGCAGTGTAGTGTAGTGGATAAAGCAACAGACTAGGACTCAGGAAACCTGGGTTCAAGTACCCACTCAGCCATGGAAACTCACTGGGGGGTGGGGAGGGAATGGGTAAATCCTTAAATGTCTCACTTAAGGGTTGCTATTTGTCAGATCTGACTTGACAACACATAACACAACAAACAGTAATTCCTGTAGAGGGTAAATGGCATAACTGGCAGTGGGTTCTCGCTGCTTAATCAATGAATCTCTGCTTTCTTCTTCTTTTTAGCACTGCTATAAGTTATGCTGTTTGCCCTCTGCAGGTGTAACATAATTTTGGCCAATTGGTTCCCAATGTGATTTTTATGGTGCTTAGTTTTGTATGTGTCTTCAATCACCTTGGGGTGGTCATTGAGATAGTACAGTAGTTGTTTGTTGAGAAAAGCAGGATATACATTTTTAGATTAAAAGATGTCTATTAAAAATCCATATCATTTTGCTAAATGTCTAATAGATCCAGGCTGCCCCCAAGTAAGCCTGTGACCCTCCCTGTGTGTGTATATCTCCCTCTCAAGTGCATTTTCATTTCAGGCTACGAGTGTGAGCACTTTAACAACCCCTTGGACTTCTTTCTGGATGTGATCAGTGGAGAGGTTGTGCAGTCCCAGCCTGGAGAAAATTTAGGTGAGTTCTTTTGCATTTATTTATTTTTTCTAGTACAAACCATCTCACATAATGCATGGGTCATGAAATAAACTAAAGAAAAACATAAATAAATCCACCTTGAAAGCCTGCATGCATTGTGGTCATTTTTTTTTGGAAGGACAGCAACCTTACAATTCACTAGCAGAACTACCCAGTTTTGCACAAATTAGAAATCCACTTCCAGTTCCACCCAACCTGGGCTGCTCTTTCCCTCCCTACACACACCCACACAGTCTGGTTTGCTCTTTCCTCCCACCCACAAAACCACATCGCTCTTGGACTTACAAGTTTCTTCTCTAGAGCTTCTGACGCTCTGACCGAGATCATTCCTGAACCTTTTGCTTCCTGTCCTGCTTGGAAATCATGCTTTATAAGCTGCAAAATCATTTGCAGTTCTTGGCTTTTAATGGTATCATGGTATTCCTCTCTCGCAATAACATAAAGATTTGCAGTGTTGTTACTATTGGGTTTTTCAGGAAAACACAACAGGTAAAATCTTGTTATACTTGTTACTTTTTCTCATTACTTTCCTGGAGCAAAAAAGTTGTGGGGGACATTTCATTCCCCCACCCTCCAAGTTTGACTATTTTCTTACTTCTTTAGATATTTTTTTTCTTTTTAAAAAAGAAAAGAAACCAAATAGAACTGAATAACAAAGAGTGATGCAACAAGTTGCTTCTAAAAACAGGTTACTTTGGGAGGGGGGGAGGCTTTGTAATGTATTACATAACAAATCACATCTCGGTCTTGATGCTGTGACAGAGGCACTCAAGTACACTCCCACACACATTCCCTATTAGTATAAAAGAAGTCCCCTTTTAGCCTCCTCCCTACCTGAATACCCTTTCTTTTTCCTCCCCCCCCTTTCATACTGTTCTTCTCCGCCTCCCTCTCTGGTCAGTATTGCTGAGACTGAACCAGCTTCACTTAAGTTAGAGGCCGCGTTGTCCTTGCTCCCTCCAGTGCTGTTTCTTGCCTCTCTACCTCCCACTCTTTCCTCCTAGATCTTTTACAGAACGAATCAGAACAATTTATTTTGACAAATGTTGAGAGCCAGTTTGGGAGCTGGAAAAAAGTTTCCAGCCCAAGAGTCCTGAAGCGTGGCCAGGGCGCGTGCAGACTGTCCAAGCAGAGGAACAAAAAAATGAACTTTTTGCAAATGTCCATTACCAAGGAGGGGAAGTGTTCAAACCGAGAGAACGGCAGAGCGCTTCACAGACTAGCAGGTGCAGCCACACCAGCCAAGAAAGAGTTGCAGAGAGTTCCTCTGATGAGAAAGACACTTGCTTCTGTTTCTGAAAACGAAACTAAAAAGAGTGAATTGTCTCTGGAAGTGTGCGGAAGGCTTCCAGCTTTTGCCTAAAGTTAGTTGGGTCTTAAGAAGTCAATTACAGTGGGGTCTCGACTTGTGAACGACCCTACTTGCGAACAATTCAACTTATGAACCCACCCTATAGGGAAATAAGGACTCGACATATGAACTTCCCTCAAGCTACGAACAGGAAAAAAGTGCCCCCTCCCTCCCCTTAGAGGCTTCTGGAGG